CGAAGTCATTTGGCGTCAGGATAACATCAGATAGGCTTGTGTTAACCAAATTCTGTGGCTCTCTCATAAAAAATTCCTATTGATCTTCGACTCTCAGTCTGGTTAGTGGCTTGCTAAAAACTGAGTCATTGGGATTAGAGTAGCTCACTCATTTCCTTGTTGTCATCTGTGTAGGACCCATCTTGTTTAAGTAAGGGCCCATAGACATGTGGCTCCTCCTGCATGACAGAAGGGTGATAAGTGGACTAACTGTTGTCAGTCTCCCTTAGTATTAAGTCAATGAAGTTCAGTTGAAGTTCTTTTCGTATTATTCTCAAACTGCAAGCTGACAAGCCAAGATTGTAATTTACTCTTTGAAAGCATATAACTTAGCCAGTTCATCAGTTCTGTCATGCATCTGAAGACCAATGTGAGATGGAATCCACAGAAAGTGCACGCTGACTCCACTGTCTAAAATCCTACTATACCTGTGTCTGGCTTCTGACACAAGCATGCCACAATTTATACTTAACGAGTTGAGGGCATTTACAGATAGAGAATTAGTTACAATTTGTGTGTCAACCTACGATACATGGGCGCATTTTGAGTGCAAAGAGTATGGCAAACAGTTCTGTTTGAAGGGTAGACGCCCAGTTACTGATGTGTGCTCCAATTTCTTTGAGAGCCATCACGGTATGACAACAGCAGCACTACCAGCTGCACCAGCGGATTGGTGAACAGAACCACCAACATAAATAATTTGTGAGTGTGTTCTGTGTGACTTAAGTTTTCAGTACAGCTTAAAGCATCCTGTTTGGCTTCAAGGCGAAGCTTTGGTTGTGATTTAAGAAGTTTTTATAGGGAAAATGGGGAGATGGTAGTTTGGAATGGGATAGTATTCAGTGGAGCTGGGAAGTGCCGCTGTTGCCTTGTAACTTGCCATGATTGTGACCAGATCTACCTGGAGTTCATTACCTTTGTAACTAATTCAGCTGAACTTTGGGGTTCAGTCCCTGGACCCATTATGTACCTCTGTAATCTTTTGACTACCGTCCACAGGATGGGTATGGGGTGCGTAATAACGATATTAAACTGAACTAAATTGCCTTACTTGACAGAGATCATGTATCTGGTTCATGCGGAGGTCAGTTTGTTTTTTCGATCCATCTGGAGGGGTGTTCACCAGTGCTGAGGAAAGTTTGGAGGGCTTCTGTGCAGGGGTTTGAATGGGCTTGCCTGAGCATATTTACCCCAAATGAGGCCATTTCTTCAGTAATACGATCTCTGATGTTTGGAATATCAAGTTCTTTCTGCATATTTAAACTTTTGGCAGTACGAGGGCATCCTAGGATGATCCTCATTGCTTCGTTCTGCAGTTTTTCCAGCCTTCCAAGCTTCCAGTAGCGGAAATGTTCGATTTTTACCAATGTTCAAGAGTAAGCGTGGCATGGCATAATCAACCAATGATCTAATATAAGCAAAATCCATAATTATCACTATTTTAATATTAGTATCATACCTGGGATGAAGACCTGTCACAGCTGTAAGTGCTCTCAGCCTTTCTTTGTATTGGCAACAGTCTCGTTACATCAGGTCCAAGTAATGGGACCTCGTAGTCTAGATACCTGCATCTGGTTACATATTCTTGAAGACCCATCATGCAACTGGATCTGGCGAGCTGTGCCTCTTTCGAGGAGGACTCCTATTGAATATCTTTGTTTTATCAGTAGAGATTATCAACCCCAGGTCCTGACAGGAGGCTAGTACATGGTTAAGGATGTTTTGGGTGTTGGAGAATCCGGTAGTGTGAATCATTATATCATCAGCAAAGCTAATCATATAATGATCGGACTGGCTAGGTATAGCATTAAGAAAGGCATTTGGCATTTATTAGAAAATTGAATAAGATGGGACTGAGCAACGAGTGATAATGTCAGAGGATCTCTTTCAAAGACCACAACATTGTATCTACCTCATCTGCTAAAAAAAAAAAAAAAAAAAAAAAGGATTGACAAAGAGAACCTTCAAAACTATGGATCCCATGCCCAGAAACGCTCTTCAGATCCCATGTTCTATCTAGGCTGGAATATTGCTGCGCACTAGCACCGCCTTTCAAAGCAGGTGAAATTGTTGACATAGAAAATGTACAGAGAACTTTCACGGCACACATAAGTACGATAAAAAAAAATATCTAAATCTCCATGAATAGTTGAAGTTCCTCGACTTGTATTCCCTGGAACGCTGGCGGGAGAGATACATGATTATACATACCTGGAAAATACTAGAGGGATTAGTACCAAATGTGCACACGAAACTTGCTCCCTAGGAAAGCAAAAGACTTGGCAGGCTATGCAACATCCACCCAATCAAAAGCAGGGGCTCCACTAGCACGATAAGAGACGACACAGTAAGTGTCAGGGGCCCGAGACTGTTCAACTATCTCCCAGCATTCATAAATGGGATTACCAATAGACCCCTGGCTGTCTTCAAGAAGGCTTTGGACAGACAACTAAAGACAGTACCCGACCAGCCGAGCTGTGGTTCGTACGTCGGTTTGTGTGTGGCCAGCAGTAACAGCCTAGTTGATCAGGCCCTCATTCACCATGAGGCCTAGTCACAGACCGGGCCGCGGGGGCATTGACCCCCGAAACCCTCTCCAGGTATACCACCCTGTGGGGTTCCTCTAGGTGTTGTCTTGAGCTGTGTTCTTCAGCAGGTTGAGGTGAACCTTGAGCTGTGTTCTTCAGCAGGTTGAGGTGAACCTTGAGCTGTGTTCTTCAGCAGGTTGAGGTGAACCTTGAGCCGTGTTCTTCAGCAGGTTGAGGTGAGCCTTGAGCTGTGTTCTTCAGGTTGAGGTGAACCTTGAGCTGTGTTCTTCAGCAGGTTGAGGTGAACCTTGAGCCGTGTTCTTCAGCAGGTTGAGGTGAACCTTGAGCCGTGTTCTTCAGCAGGTTGAGGTGAACCTTGAGCCGTGTTCTTCAGCAGGTTGAGGTGAACCTTGAGCCGTGTTCTTCAGCAGGTTGAGGTGAGCCTTGAGCTGTGTTCTTCAGCAGGTTGAGGTGAACCTTGAGCTGTGTTCTTCAGCAGGTAGAGATGAACCTTGAGCCGTGTTCTTCAGCAGGTTGAGGTTAACCTTGAGCTGTGTTCTTCAGCAGGTTGAGGTGAACCTTGAACTGTGTTCTTCAGCAGGTAGAGGTGAACCTTGAGCTGTGTTCTTCAGCAGGTAGAGATGAACCTTGAACTGTGTTCTTCAGCAGGTAGAGATGAACCTTGAGCTGTGTTCTTCAGCAGGTAGAGATGAACCTTGAGCTGTGTTCTTCAGCAGGTTGAGGTGAACCTTGAGCTGTGTTCTTCAGCAGGTTGAGGTGAACCTTGAGCTGTGTTCTTCAGCAGGTTGAGGTGAACATTGAACTGTGTTCTTCAGCAGGTTGAGGTGAACCTTGAACTGTGTTCTTCAGCAGGTTGAGGTGAACCTTGAGCTGTGTTCTTCAGCAGGTTGAGGTGAACCTTGAGCTGTGTTCTTCAGCAGGTTGAGGTGAACCTTGAGCTGTGTTCTTCAGCAGGTTGAGGTGAACCTTGAGCTGTGTTCTTCAGCAGGTTGAGGTGAACCTTGAGCTGTGTTCTTCAGCAGGTTGAGGTGAACCTTGAGCTGTGTTCTTCAGCAGGTTGAGGTGAACCTTGAGCTGTGTTCTTCAGCAGGTCGAGGTGAACCTTGAGCTGTGTTCTTCAGCAGGTCGAGGTGAACCTTGAACTGTGTTCTTCAGCAGGTAGAGGTGAACCTTGAACTGTGTTCTTCAGCAGGTAGAGGGTGAACCTTGAACTGTGTTCTTCAGCAGGTAGAGGTGAACCTTGAACTGTGTTCTTCAGCAGGTAGAGGTGAACCTTGAACTGTGTTCTTCAGCAGGTAGAGGTGAACCTTGAACTGTGTTCTTCAGCAGGTAGAGATGAACCTTGAACTGTGTTCTTCAGCAGGTAGAGATGAACCTTGAACTGTGTTCTTCAGCAGGTAGAGATGAACCTTGAACTGTGTTCTTCAGCAGGTAGAGATGAACCTTGAACTGTGTTCTTCAGCAGGTAGAGATGAACCTTGAACTGTGTTCTTCAGCAGGTAGGATGAACTTGAACTGTGTTCTTCAGAGGTAGAGATGAACCTTGAACTGTGTTCTTCAGCAGGTAGAGATGAACCTTGAACTGTGTTCTTCAGCAGGTAGAGATGAACCTTGAACTGTGTTCTTCAGCAGGTAGAGATGAACCTTGAACTGTGTTCTTCAGCAAGGTAGAGATGAACCTTGAACTGTGTTCTTCAGCAGGTAGAGATGAACCTTGAACTGTGTTCTTCAGCAGGTAGAGATGAACCTTGAACTGTGTTCTTCAGCAGTAGAGATGAACCTTGAACTGTGTTCTTCAGCAGGTAGAGATGAACCTTGAACTGTGTTCTTCAGCAGGTAGAGATGAACCTTGAACTGTGTTCTTCAGCAGGTAGAGATGAACCTTGACTGTGTTCTTCAGCAGGTAGAGATGAACCTTGAACTGTGTTCTTCAGCAGGTAGAGATGAACCTTGAACTGTGTTCTTCAGCAGGTAGAGATGAACCTTGAACTGTGTTCTTCAGCAGGTAGAGATGAACCTTGAACTGTGTTCTTCAGCAGGTAGAGATGAACCTTGAACTGTGTTCTTCAGCAGGTAGAGATGAACCTTGAAAACTGTGTTCTTCAGCAGGTAGAGATGAACCTTGAACTGTGTTCTTCAGCAGGTAGAGATGAACCTTGAACTGTGTTCTTCAGCAGGTAGAGATGAACCTTGAACTGTGTTCTTCAGCAGGATGAGATGAACCTTGAACTGTGTTCTTCAGCAGGTAGAGATGAACCTTGAACTGTGTTCTTCAGCAGGTAGAGATGAACCTTGAACTGTGTTCTTCAGCAGGTAGAGGTGAACCTTGAGCTGTGTTCTTCAGCAGGTAGAGGTGAATCTTGAGCTGTGTTCTTCAGCAGGTAGAGGTGAATCTTAAACTGTGTTCTTCAGCAGGTAGAGATGAACCTTGATCCTGGCATCGTGTGCTACCAGCACTGTGAAGGTCGTCTCTTCGGCTTCTCTCTGCCTCCCACCTGTCACCTCTGTGGTGCTGACCTCTCCGTTGAACCTCTCATTACCCCGCCCTTCAGGTGAGTTACACTCTCTTCAGGTGAGTTACACGCCCTTCAGGTGAGTTACACAACCTTCAGGTGTAACTCGCCATACTCAGGTCAGTCATATTCTGTCACCATAATGCCTGTTAATTTAGATTTTATATCTATTATTCCTGCATGTTAAACACGTTCTACAATGATTGTTTTTGTCTTCCACAGAGTGCCTTACCCCTTCGTGCGTGCCTCCCAGGCTCCTTGTACCATCGTCATCAAACCTTCCAGAGGAGACTTCCTCCAGTAAGTGTTTCTTCCACGATAATGCATTTTCTCCCCACCTGTTCCGTGGTTGACTCCCTGACACGTGAGAGTTCTATTAAACTAGTTTTTGGATCACTTGTGGCAAGATGTTTCCAGTGGATCAGTTTTATTATTAGAAAGCTGTTAAGTGCCGGTATACCTGGAGTATACCTGGAGAAGGTTTCTGTTGTACGGTTCAAGAAATATAACTATTAAATGTTTTTAGCACTGTTGACAGTACATCGTAACTTGGTATACGTATTCTTGGTCTGTGCTATAAGGTAATTCAAGAGAAACTAAAGACTTTATTTAGTACCTTTTATCTGCAGCGACTACCGGAGCAGCAACGACTTGCACATTGGTGTGACTGACAGTGAGGGCTGTGTGTTCGAGTATGACAGTGAGGGCCTCCACTCAGACTACACCTCCTCCTGGAAACAGTCTCTCTCGGTTCCTATTATCACGGACTCGGCAAACCACCTTGACCCCGTCTGGCAGGAATACTGGAACTTCAGTCTGCACACTCTTGCTCAAAACCCCTCGTGGTCCACGGAAAGGTTGGTGCTCGTGGATTGTTGAGAAGCTAGAGGTTGTAGTTGATCAGGCACAGGTGAAGGTAAGTAATTCAAGTTGGTCGATATTAAATAAGAAAAAAAATGCACAATACCGTGACTAGAACAATACACAAATAACCCGCACATATTATTATTATTATTATTATCATAATCAAAGAGAAGCGGTAAACCTACTAGGGTCATACAGCGCTGCAAGTTGGTCGATAAGTGGTAGAAGGTTTGCAGGCTCAAGGGAGGTGCTGATGCATGGTTCGTACATGGACACAGGCTCGAGTTAATTTTTTCCTCCTTATAACATGTTCTTCGTATACTTGACGTTAATCATTCCCTCCCACAGGTACTCTGAGACCTCCTTCAACTGTTATTCCTTTGTGCTGGAGTTCCTCAAGACTCTTGGGCCACCGGGTGTAAATGTGAAGACATTGACCAAGACGTCTCTCTGCGCAGAGCTGCTGGTCCCTCACACTGCCGCCGCCGCTAGATACATCTCTCTCTACCGCAGACTCCTCAGCCACAAAGTGGTGTCCGTCACCAAGTCGTCCTGAGGCCCTTTGCTAAACAACGTGTACCATATTTTTTTCCTTGGTATATATACAGATATACTACTTGAAATGAGGATATACGTATTTAGGTATCCACTAGAAGGTATCCTTCAATAGTTGCCCGATTTATTTTTCTTTCTTAAAGGTTTTCAGTTACAGCTTGAATACCTTATCCAGTTTACTTCAGATTTTCAATACTGATATACAGGACCAAGGAAAAGGTTCATGCAAATATTGTTATGAACAGGCGCCCGCTGGTCAGTGTTATGTAGACTGTTCCAAGATTTGGTTTCCATATTATAATTGAGTCTTCAGTCTTCAGTGACTACTGTATCTTAGGACGAATAGCCCATAAATATGTTATTATGCACCCATACTATCCTATGCAGGTTGTTACAGAGGACATAATGGGTCCAGGTTACTGGGCCCAAGTTTTGAAAGCAGGAGCAAGTACAAAGATGCAATTTTCCAGTTTCCTAGCGTAGTGATAAACTTGGAATCAATACCTGGAAAAAAAATTTATTGGTCGGTTTCAATACTGTTCATTAACACATAATATATACAATGGGAAGTATAGGCTTTTTAGCTTATAATACAATACAATGCAAATACTTCCTTTTGCAGTATTACACAAAAGGGTCAGTTTACATGCAAAAAATATTAAGCTAGAAGTAAAAGTCACCAGCAGTGGATAAATTCGTGCAGATTAATCCTTACACACAGAGTTTCTTCTTCAAACTTCAGTTTTAGGGATTTAAGGATTTATGTTTGTATAATGACAAGTCCCCTCAAGAAGGTTCCTTGATTGGTTAGGAGGCTCTTGATTTAGGGAATTGGACTGTGCTCCAGTTCCCCGAATTAATCGTGAATCCTTCCACATCTCCCCCCAGGCGCTGTATAATCTTCCGGGTTTAAGCGTATTCCCTTGATTATAATAATAATAATGAACAAGATACATATCACATTACTATTGTTTAGGGCGTCTTGAACAGTCACTCTTTAATGTTTTTATAAGTGTGGAGGTGTCTGTGGTTAAGATGGCGGACTGATATATAATAATAATAATAATAATCTTTATTTACTACAAGTACATGTACATGGTATACAGTCCTAGCTGACAACAATGACATACTACTACATAGAAAGCCACTTATTATGCTGAGCATCTCGGGCAAATTAGGTCAGTGTCCCAGGATGCGACCCACACCAGTCGACTAACACCCAGGTACCCATTTTACTGATGGGGAACATAGACAACAGGTGGAAAGAAACACGCCCAATGTTTCTACTCTGGCTGGGAATCGAACCCAGGCCCTCGCCGTGTGAGGCGAGAGCGTTAACCACCAGGCCACCAGAGCCTGATGATCTCTGAACTTAAGTATCCTCTGATAAAGCGCACACAAGATTTGCTGTAACTGAACACAAATGGTTTATTCTTTTAAGAACAGTAAGGTCATGTTGGCTCTGAGGGTCATTATACACGTATCTACATTTCATAGAGCTGTATGACCCTTATCGATTTATCATTTATTTATGATGATTGTAATAATACATTTCACAGGAAGATACACGTCTGTCTCCAAAGTTTCGTCTATATTTCAAAAAGTTGCAACATGTACGAGGTTTTATTATGGAAAGTTTAGGAGAAAATTTCTTTATTATAATATCCATGGTGTTCACTTATTAATTTTAAATATGCTTTTTATGGCCGCATTATAGGTGTACCATACTTTAAATTAAAATATTTTCACTATATATTTAGATCATACACATTGTGAATATTGAAATATTGTTTTTTCTGTATTAAATACTTAAGACATCAATGGTACCCTGTAGTCAACACTTCAACTCTTCCAGCAGGTCTGGAGTTGAGTAGAATGTATCTTTTAAGATGTATTGATGTATTTTAATACAAATAAAGTGATCTGTTTTGTCTCTGTCTCGCTCTGTCTTTCTAATGCTTTTTTTTTATATTACATGATATTTATGATGAGTGAGGAACTGGTGTGACTTACTGGTATGTTCACCTGAGTTTACTATGATAAAAATATCGTAGGGGTTCTTAAGGAGATACTAGGGTTGAAGGTAAACACTTTGTGGGATGGTAACACTATTGTCAAACTGTGGATGAGAGGTGGGAGCCCAGGCCTGCCGTGTTCTTGCCTGTTCATAGGTGGTCCGTCGAGTGAGACCGAGGTAGCTGTCTCACTGCCTCAAGCTGTACCCCGTGACGTCATGCCATCACAGGCCTAAGGGATCTTCTATATAACCCTTTGACTGTCGCGGCCATATATATACGTTTTACGAGGTGCCGTGTTTGACATATATATACTCATAAATTCTAGCGGCTTCAAATCAAGCAGGAGAAAGCTGGTAGGCCCACATGTGAGAGAATGGGTCTGTGTGGTCAGTGTGCACCATATAAAAAAAATCCTGGAGCACGCAGTGCATAATGAGAAAAAAAAAACTCCGACCGTTTTTTTTAATTAAAATGCCGACTTTGTGGTCTATTTTCGTATAGTATTTATGGCTGTATTCTCGTTTTCTTGGTCTCATTTGATAGAATGGAAAACATATTACAGAAATAGAGGTGATTTTGATTGATTTTACCATAAAAAGAACCTAGAAATGGAGCTCAAAGTAGGGGAAATGTTTGATTTTTGCCAATGTTCAAAAGTAAACAAATGATGCCATTGTCCAATAAATGTCCAACTAGCCATTCTAATATGGAGTCATGAATGGGTTGATGTTATTTATACAGTTATTACAGCATTGCAGTAGTCTGCATAATAGTAAGTCTAATATTTTTTGTTTGAATAAAAATTCAAAATAGAAAGCAAGAGTAATATCAGAAGGGCCTGGAGACGTGACTGATGAACAAAGAAAATGTTATTTTAGAGCCAGGAATGTCTGCATTGTTCATTCTGGACCTTATTTTGAAATTGTCATATTTTTTAGTTTTCGTGAAATTGGCCAAATTGCAAATTTCTGACCACATTATTAGGTAGTTGAAATCAGTAAATGGGTAGTTTCTTGTATTCAATCGATAGAAAAAATGAAGTTCTAAAGAAATAGCTATGAGTTTGGGCGACTGGAACAATGGAATTAGCCGAAAATAGGGCTCAAAGTGGGCGAAATCGCCGATTTGTAAACAGCGCCGAGGTCGCTAACTTCGCGAGAGCATAATTCCGTCAGTTTTCCATCAAATTTCGTTTTTTTGGTGTCATTACAATCGGGAAAAGATTCTCTATCATTTCATAAGAAAAAATAATTTTTTTTTTTTAAATTTTGCGACACCAGGAGACACCTCAGGATTGGGGGTTGCGACAGTCAAAGGGATAAACACATGGATGGTACTATGTTTACCTGGAGTTTACCTGGAGAGAGTTCCGGGGGTCAATGCCCCTGCGGCCCGGTCTGTGATCCAGGCCTCCTGGTGGATCAGAGCCTGATCAACCAGGCTGTTGCTGCTGGCTGCACGCAAACTAACGTACGAGCCACAGCCCGGCTGGTCAGGAACCGACTTTAGGTGCTTGTCCAGTGCCAGCTTGAAGACTGCCAGGGGTCTGTTGGTAATCCCCCCTTATGTATGCTGGGAGGCAGTTGAACAGTCTCAGGCCCCTGACACTTATTGTATGGTCTCTTAACGTGCTAGTGACACCCCTGCTTTTCATTGGGGGGATTGTTGCATCATCTGCCAAGTCTTTTGCTTTCGTAGTGAGTGATTTTCGTGTGCAAGTTCGGTACTAGTCCTCTAGGATTTTCCAGGTGTATATAATCATGTATCTCTCCCGCTGCGTTCAGGGAATACAGGTTTAGGAACCTCAAGCGCTCCCAGTAATTGAGGTGTTTTATCTCTGTTATGCGCGCCGTGAAGGTTCTCTGTACATTTTCTAGGTCAGCAATTTCACCTGCCTTGAAAGGTGCTGTTAGTGTGCAGCAATATTCCAGCCTAGACAGAACAAGTGACCTGAAGAGTGTCATCATGGGCTTGGCCTCCCTAGTTTTGAAGGTTCTCATTATCCATCCTGTCATTTTTCTAGCAGATGCGATTGATACAATGTTATCGTTCTTGAAGGTGAGATCCTCTTACATGATCACTCCCAGGTATTTGACATTGGTGTTTCGCTCTATTTTGTGGCCAGAATTTGTTTTGTACTCTGATGAAGATTTAATTTCCTCGTGTTTACCATATCTGAGTAATTGAAATTTCTCATCGTTGAACTTCATATTGTTTTCTGCAGCCCACTGAAAGATTTGGTTGATGTCCGCCTGGAGCCTTGCACTGTCTGCAATGGAAGACACTGTCATGCAGATTCGGGTGTCATCTGCAAAGGAAGACACGGTGCTGTGGCTGACATCCTTGTCTATGTCGGATATGAGGATGAGGAACAGGATGGGAGCGAGTACTGTGCCTTGTGGAACAGAGCTTTTCACCGTGGCTGCCTCGGACTTGACTCTGTTGACGACTACTCTCTGTGTTCTGTTAGTGAGGAAATTATAGATCCCTCGACCGACTTTTCCTGTTATTCCTTTAGCACGCATTTTGTGCGCTATTACGCCATGGTCACACTTGTCGAAGGCTTTTGCAAAGTCTGTATATATTACATCTGCATTCTTTTTGTCTTCTAGTGCATTTAGGACCTTGTTGTAGTGATCCAATAGTTGAGACAGACAGGAGCGACCTGTTCTAAACCCATGTTGCCATGGGTTGTGTAACTGATGGGTTTCTAGATGGGTGGTGATCTTGCTTCTTAGGACCCTTTCAAAGATTTTTATGATATGGGATGTTAGTGCTATCGGTCTGTAGTTCTTTGTTGTTGCTTTACTGCCCCCTTTGTGGAGTGGGGCTATGTCTGCTGTTTTTAGTAACTGTGGGACGACCCCTGTGTCCATGCTCCCTCTCCATAGGATGGAAAAGGCTCGTGATAGGGGCTTCTTGCAGTTCTTGATGAACACGGAGTTCCATGAGTCTGGCCCTGGGGGAGAGTGCATGGGCATGTCATTTATCGCCTGTTCGAAGTCATTTGGCGTCAGGATAACATCGGATAGGCTTGTGTTAATCAAATTTTGTGGCTCTCTCATAAAAAATTCATTTTGATCTTCGACTCTGTCTGGTTAGCGGCTTGCTAAAAACTGAGTCATATTGGGACTAGAGTAGCTCACTCATTTCCTTGCTGTCATCTGTGTAGGACCCATCTTGTTTAAGTAGGGGCCCGATATTGGACGTTGTTTTCGACTTTGATTTGGCATAGGAGAAGAAATACTTTGGGTTTCTTTCGATTTCATTTATGGCTTTTAGTTCTCTGACCAGTGTCTCCCTACGCATTTC